TGAAGCCAAACTCTCAAACCCTGAATTTATAGAGTGGACTTAGGAATTAGGGGTTTTAGGGCCAACGGCAGGTTCCCGAATCCCGTACAGAGAGTTTGCAGCGTATAGAACCCACGTAGAATGCTCATCAAAAAATCCTGCGCCCGAACTTCTGATACCCTTAGAGGTACCTGCCTAGTATCGGAACGGAACGAAAGGTTAGCCTTCGGGAATACATGGGGACCATAGTACTCCAAAAAGGTTGAAGGTTACTGAAAGGAAACCCATCAGACCCTGCTACAACGCCCCAGCCGCTCCTGCGGAAACGGTCTTCGAGGGCAGAGCAACTGCTCAAAGCTACATGCGGGCATCGCCCTATCCTTGGCTGCTTTTGATGGACTTTGGCTTCGGGTTCAGGATGTAGAGTCTACAAGGGGCTTCAGAGTTTTGAGATTGAGGAAAAATTTAGGGGTGAAGGTTCCGGGTTCAGGCATTTAGGATTTAGGGGTTTTGCTCTTTTGTATGCATGTACTGTACTGAAATCAAAACAAATGAGTTCAAGAGCCGCCTAGTTGCTGGTGCGTCCAGGAGGCACAGGAACATCTGCCTCGAAGGCTTGTGTTGCGTTCAACCCTAAACCCTAAATCCTAGACCCTAAGCCCTAAACCCTAAACCCTAAATCCTAAACCCTAAACCCTAAACCCTAAATCCTAAACCCCACACCTCCGCGTCCTTAAACCCTAGATCCGGTCAATGGGTCAGAAAGCCGGGGACGTAGGATAAGTCAAACTGTAATTGTAAAGGGTTTAGGGTTTAGAGTTTCGGGTTTCGGGTTTAGGGCTTTAGGGCTTTGGGGAAGTAGGATAGCCCAATTAAGGTACTTATATAACTCAACTCGTAACCTACTGACTAAGTTCCCTGATCCGTAAGAACCAACACCCGGATAAAACCTTGCCTGCAATCCAGTGTTGCAAAGGAATGCTCTCACAGCTTAAAGACCCTAAACCCTAAACCCTAAACCCCAAACCCTAAACCCTAAACCCTAAACCCAAACCCTCAACCCCAAACCACTTATTCAGACCCCTATACTACGGAGGGCCGGAGCCCCTGGCAACCCTGAATCATGAGTATCATCACGTCTCCACTCCGGCTTTGTGCAGGCACGCCCAAAGCCATTAGTAAGACGGTTTAGAGTTCTGGGGTTTAGGGTTTAGGGTTTTTGGGTTTAGGGCACTAGAGTTCAAAGGGACCCCAATGATACCATGATCCCAGGGCCTAGTTTCCAGTACTCCGCCTCAAGGCTCCAAACTCTACACACCAGAGATTCCGAGAACCCTAAACCCCCAGCCCGTCAACCGACAAGCCCAAACCCCAAACCCTAAACCCTAAACCTAAAACCTGAGCCCTAACCCCCGAAGCTAAACGCCCCCCGAAGCCTCCCAGTCGAAACCCGAAGCCCAAAGTCCCTAAAGCTCTGAGCGAGTCCAGAGCCCGAAACCGTAAAGCCGGCAAACCAGTAGAGCCCTAAATCCGAAGCAGCCAAACTCTACATCCCTAAACCCTAAACCCTAAAACCTAAACCCTCAAACCTAAAACCCTAA